GGTCGGCCGCGGCGTCGCCCGGCAGCGGGCGGTCCGCGGCGTCCGACTCCGGCAGCGGCGCAGGGGCCGCCGCGGGCCGCGGGCCAGGTGGTTGGGACGATGGAGGTCTGAATCCCCCCCCCACCTGGCCGAATGCGCGCCCGCGGCGGCCTCGCCGCCGCGTCGATCCGCGGCGCGGGGTGTCCGCCGGGCAGCGCCGGCAGCCGCGGCGGCGCCGGGGGGCCGGGCCGGCCTCCTCCAGCGTCTCCGGTCGAGCAGCGGCGGGCGCCCAGCAGGGCGCGCGGCTCGGGGCGGCCAGGCGGCGCGCAGGACCGGGCGCGCCCCCCTCCAGCCCGTCGGCCTAGCCGGGGGCGCTCAGCCCGGCAAGGGCAGAGCCGCCGCGGGCCCAGCGCTGAGTCTGGTGCGGCGTTCGGGCGGGGCGGGGCCGCTGGGGCCCGGCAGGCGGCGCGCCGCGCCGGCGGCCCGGGTGGCCGCGCGGTAGGCCTCGGCGTTGCCGCGCTGCAGAGCGGCGGTCAGCGTCGCCGGGTCGCCCGCCGCCCAAGTCCGCAGGAACGCGCGCGCCTCCTTCCCCGCTCGGCCCTGCGCCTCCACGGCGAAGGCGACCAGGGTCGGGCCCGGGTAGCGCCTGTGCTTGCGGGCCTCCGCCGCCGCCGTCGCGGCCCCGTCGCGCGCGGCGCGGCTTCGCCCGGCGGCTATAACCCGCGCCCAGGGCCGCGTCGGCGATCACCGCGTCGGCATACCCAGGTCATGCGTGACCCAAAAAGATGGGTGGCGAAAGCCGATACTGGTCGTTTCGGTTTTCGGGCGAAAGGCCGGCATTGGCGACCGGTCGCGACCGACCCAAGCAGCGCGGGCACCAGTCCAGAGATGTCACCGCGCCCGCATCTTTCGTAAGATGCATGTTTGGCTCAGCACAAAGTACCAGACCTTACGAAACATTACGTAGGATCGGTCGTAAGATTTGTATTTCTGTAGGTGCTGGATGATGATGTATGGTGTAGGATGCTCAATGTGTGATGTTGGATGTATGGTGCCGTACGATGTATGACTATGTTGGAGCATCTACGATCCATGATGTATGTTGCATGATGATGTTATAATTAGAAGGCTTGAGGTATGGATGTGCTTCCTAAGGTTGGCGATGACGATGTAGGATGCACTATACTTCTAGGGCCTCTAGGGCGCTCTTTCGGATGATCGAGGATGGGGGATCGAGGATCCAGGAACGAGGAGGAGTCCGTAGTTCACAGCTCGATCTCTTTAGGAGGATGATCGGATCGAGGAGCAGTCACCCTTGCACCACCCCACCTGCCCCCCACCCTTCCCAGAATGGACCGCGCTGGATGCGCCTCGAAGTTCTTTGCGGCGCCAGCCTGGGCCCCTCCAGAGCCCTGCCGCGTCGCTTCGGGCCCTCCACCTCCACCGCCCAGCCCTGGCGTCTCCCTCGTCGAGTCGTCAACGCGTTGGATTCGCTTCGAAGTCCTTGGCCGCGTGGGCTTGGGTCCCTCTGATGGGCCCTGGCGCGTCTGCCCGGGCCCTCCACCTCCGCCACCCTGTTCTGTCCCCCCCTCCCTCCTCCACCTCCACCATCTCCTCCTCCTCCCCCCTCCTCCCCCTCCTCGTCTCCTCCCCCTCCTCCTCCTCCTCCTCCTCCTCCTCGTCGTCGTCGTCCTCTTCCTCCTCCTCCTCACCCTCCACAATTACTCAATATGAACATGCTCTCATCCATCCCCTGATGGCGTGCGGGAAATAGCGGGCACCCCTCCGCGTATTGTTTTTTACACACAGGGTTCCCGGAGTTGGGTTGTCGCCTGGGTTTGCTTCAAAATGCTGCTCTCGCTGAGGCGCGGGCCTCATTTTAGGGCTTCCGCTCGTTCCGAATCGCGCTCCCGCTGCAGCGTGGGCCTCATTTTCGGATTGGCGTTTTGCCTCCGTCGTTGAGGATGGCGTTCTCGCCCCAGCGCGGGCCTCTTTCTCGCGCGCCCATCCGCCCGCCGCCACCGCCCCGCGCCCCGCCCCGCCCACCGCCACTTCCACCCACCAACGCGCGCACGCACGCACGCACGCGCACCACCGCCGCGCACCGCCACAACCACCCCACTACCCCACCCACCACTACCACGCTACACCGCGTCACACCATATCACATGCGCGCACGCAGACGCACGCGCGCACGCACGCACGCGCGCACGCACGCACGCGCGCGCGCACGCACGCAAAAACCATAACAGCGCCGCACGACTCACAACCACGACACCACGACCGTTACGCTCACAGAACACACAACAAACACCCACGACGCCCACCTGCGACCTGCGACACGCACACAGCTGCGACTCACCACCGACCATATAGCCCCAACACACCCCAATCACGCACGCACCGCACCTGGCCACGACCAAACCACCAAGACGCCACACACGTCACACCACAGCAACACGCGCACACTCGCACACGCGCACCGGGCGCTCACGCGGCACACGAACACCGCACACACACACACACACAAGCACACCACCACCACCAGCACCACCACCACCACCACCACCACCACCACCACCACCACCACCACCACCACCACCACCACCACCACCACCACCACCACCACCACCACGACAACCACGCACACATGCACGCACGCACGCACGTGCACCACCACCCACTACGCACGCGCGCGCGGAGCCACAGGTCCGCTACGACACGCGTCCGCGGATAGAGAAAATCAGCGCCATGGTAAGGGATGGGAGGGAGGGGTAGGACGTCAGATATGACGCGAGCGCACCTAGCTTGGGCCCCCCCCCCCCCCCGCCCCCCCCCCCCCTCCTCCTCCTCTCCTCCTCCTCTCCTCATCCTCCTCATCCTCCTCCTCCTCCTCCTCCTCTCCTTCATCCTCCTCCTCCTCCTCCCCTACTGCCCCTCGCTTTCTTCTGTGTGTGGGAGGTCGGTGGGAGTTGGACGGATGACCTCTCTAGTATTCGTTCGAGGCTGGCTAACCTGTCCCTCACCCTCACCCTCCCACCCCCTCCTCCTCCTCCCGTCCTTCCCTCTCTCCTCCTCCTCCCTCTTCCTCCTCCTAGATCCCCCTTCCCTCCTCCTCCTCCTCCCCCTCCCCTCCCCCTCATCTCTTCCTCTCCTCCTCCTCCTCCTCCTCCTCCTCCTCCTCCTCCTCCTCCTCCTCCTCCTCCTCCTCCTCCTCCTCCTCCCCCTCCTGCCCCTCGCCGCCCCAGCCATGCCAAGACGCCCTTCCAGGGCAGAGCGGCGGCCTCCTCATGGCGGCGGCCACGAGCTCCACGCACTGCCGCGCCTCCGGCGCGGGCAGATCCCCGCCGCAGGCCGGCGCCAGCTGCCCGAGCGCACCTGCTCTCCCACAGAGGCCCCCTCGATGGGGTGGAGAAGGAGGAGGAGGAGGAGGAGGAGGAGGAGGAGGAGGAAGAGGAGGAGGAGGAGGAGGAGGAGGGAGGAGGAGGAGGAGGGAGGAAAAGGGAGGAGGGAGAGAGTGAGGGAGAGGGTCGAGGGTCGAGGAGGAGGATCGAGGATCGAGGATCGACGGGGGCTGGGCCGAGGCGTGGGTCTGGCCCGCCTCCCTAGAGGCCTCCGATGCATCGGTGATGCATCGGCGATGCATCGGCGATGCATCGGCGATGCACCAGCGATGCATCGTCGACGTCGACGGTGCATTGGCGACGTCGGCGCGAAGCACATCGGGCTCCGCACCGATCGGCTACACGCAAGAGTGACCCTAGGCAAGAGTAGCCTCTGCTGCGCGGACTGAGGGGGCGCAAGGTGGACAAATCCAAGGGCTTCAAGCATCCGTTGTCACATCGCGCGCGGCGATCGAGGGGAACCCGATGAGCCCGCAGCAAAGGTCACTCCGGCAAAGGGTCACTCCTACTTGAAAACCCCTAATGCTCGTCCCCCGGGTTCGGTTGTCTAAGGCGCCTTTTTGCAAGCGGGGGGGTCCGGTTTATTAGGGGGCGGTCTCTCCAAACCGAGCACGAGGGTGGCCGGACCATCAAGCCCCATTGTCGAGACAAGGAGGCCCCGACCATCAGGTTGCCCTTGAAGCGGGGGTCCAGTTTTTTCAAGGGAGGGGGGGGGGTCGATTCGTCAGGGATCTCGAGTACGCGGAGCCGACCCGAGCCGCCGACCCCGGCGAGGGGCGTAGTAGTGGAGGGAGGAGGAGGAGGAGGAGGCACAGGAGGAGGAAGGAGGAGGAGGAGGAAGAGGAGGAGGAGGAGGAGGAGGAGGAGGAGGAGGAGGAGGAGGAGGGGCTGGAGGAGGAGGAGGAGGAGGAGGAGCTGGAGGAGGACGAGGAGGAGGAGGAGGAGGAGGAGGAGAGAAGCGGGGGTCTGTTTTTGTTCAGGGCGGGGGGGGGGCGATTCGTAAGGGATCTCGAGTGCGCGGGGCCGACCCGAGCCGCGCCGCCGACGCCTCGGCGCTGCGGCGCGCGATCCGCCGACCCCATCGTTGCTCCGACCCCGGCGAGGGGCCGTAGAAGTGGCGGAGGAGGACCAGGAGGAGGAGGAGGACCAGGAGGAGGAGGAGGAGGACAAGGAGAAGGAGGAGGAGGAGGACAAGGAGGAGGAGGAGGAGGAGGAACAGGAACAGGAGGAGGAGGAGGACAAGGAGAAGGATGAGGAGGAGGAGGAGGAGCAGGAACAGGAACAGGAACAGGAACAGGAACAGGACGAGGAGGAGGAGGAAGAGGACACGGAGGAGGAGGAGGAGGAGGAGGAGGTAGAGGAAGAGAAGGAACAGGAACAGGAGGAGGAGGAATAGGAACAGGAACAGAAGGAGGAGAAGGAGGAGGAAAAGGAGGAGACGGAGGAAAAGGAGGAGGAGGTGGAACAGGAACAGGAGGAGGAGGAGGAACAGGAACAGGAACAGGAGGAGGAGGAGGAGGAAAAGGAGGAGGAGGAAAAGGAGGAGGAGGAGGAGGAGGAGGAGGCCGAGGGGCCGCCGCCCGCCCGCGAGCGCGGGGCGCCTCCCAACCCGGCACTGCTGGGGAGAGCGCAAGGGGGACTGCGGGCCCCCCTCGCGGCACGGCGAAGAGTCGCGGCGGGAGGGCTACCCACCAGACCACCCCAACCCAACCCGAAGACCCGAATTTCGGGTCGGGGGGGTAAGGGTTCCACGCGTGTTTTTTCGATGTTCACCGACCCCCCCCCACTGAAGTGGACGGTAAATTTGAGCCTTCGGGTTGGGTTGGGGTGGTTTGGTGGGTGGTGACGGGAGGGCCGGGGGGCGGCCAGAGCCCAGACCCCCTCGCGCTGCGAACAAAAAAATCACGACGGGAGGTTCTTTCGGGTCGGGCGAAAGGGGGGGATAGCAAAGGGGGGGGTTGAGAATCAGCGCTCACGTAGCTGATTTTCCCGGCGCCTCCCGGCGCCGGAGGCGCCTGTGTATCGAGGAATGGGCCCTTCGGTGGGGCCGAAACCAGCTGCACGCAGCAAATTTCGTAGCCCCCCCTTTCCCAATCCCCCCCTTTCGTCCGGCCCGATTTTTCTCCGTTTTCTGCCTCTGGGGGCCTTTACAGGGCCTTATAGGACCGTCCAAAAACGACTCCGAGAGGAAGACCGGTCCCGGGGAAGAGGTCCAGACCTCTGGGGGTCGACATCGTGAAAGAATCACGACGTCGGGGGTCTGGGAAGGGGGGTGTCCAAGAGGGGGGGCGCAGATCATGGCCGGCGGCACGTGCGCGGCCCCCGTGGGGCGGGGCCAGGGACGTATTGAAGTCCGCCGGCCCGGAGTCGGCGCGTGGAAGAGGCTTTTCGCTCTGCCCCCTCTGAGGCTTCCCTGTCTGCCCCCTCTTCGTCGTCGTCGCCGCTCCTTCCCCTTTCCCAGGCCTCCCCCTCAAGTTGCGAGGCAGAAGGAAATTGAGCAATGTCGTAATCACCAAATTGAGCCACGTCGTCATTGAGTCGACGGGAAGCCCCTTCCCTTTCATCCCTTCCCTGCCGGGGGGGGGTCCCGGGGGGGTGCCGGGGAAGTCCCAGCGGGGGTCCGGTACGCCCCCCCCCCGGGAATCCCACGGCCCACCAAAGCCCCAGGACGAGCCGAGAATGTCCCAAGAGACCCTCACGAGACCACTCCGTCAACATCTGCGGGCACCACTACCACCCCGAGTCTCCCCCCCTCACTACTACCCCCCCTCCATTCCCCCCCCCTCCCCTGAACCTCTGCCTCCACCTCCTCATCCCCATCCTCCTCCTCCTCCTCCTCCTCCTCCTCCTCCTCCTCCTCCTCCTCCTCCTCCTCCTCCTCTTGCGGCTCCTCCTCCTGCTCGTCCTACTTCTCCTCTCTCTACCTCGTCGTGGTCAGCGTCCTCATCTTCAGGGTCGGCGGCATTGCTCGTAAGGCCTTCGCAATAAGAAATGGCGCCGTGAAATCTGGGGAGATATCATGGCCCCTGCCACGATATCCCCCCCTAGTCATCACCCCCCTCTTTGCCGCCCCCGAGAGGAGGTTTTTCGCTCTTCTCGGCCTCCGAAGGCCCTTGCTGGGCTCCGGGATCGTGAAAGAACGACTCTGGATGAGAAGCCGGTGACAAAAAATCACGACGGGAGGATCTTTATCCGCTCTTTTCGGTCTCCGGGGGCCCGTGCTGGGCCCTGGGACCGTGAAGAAACGACTCAGGATGAAAAAGCGCACCTGGGGAAGGGGTCCAGATTTCTGGGGTTCGGCGTTGCGACAAGAATCACGACGTCGGGGGTCTGGGAAGTGAGGAGGCAACGACTGGGAGGTCTTCGTCGGAAACGAATCCGAAGCCCCGGACTGGGCCGCGGATTGAGCGGGATGAAGCCCGCGGGGTTAAGCGGGACCAAGCCGGAATAAGCGGGATCAAGCCGGATGAAGCCGGATTTCGGAACAAAAGGCAAAGTCCGAATTTTACCCCCTAAGTGCATCCGAAGGGAGGGCTCCACAGATGGGCTTATGTTATCCCCATCGTACTTGAGGACCACATCCCAAAAATATTCTCGGGTACCCAGGAGAGTATCGAAACATTGTCTACACAAGACACGCTTGCGACATGTGGAACGAATATCGCCTCCCAGGAACTTTCGGGGGCGGCCAAGCAGGGGGGCGCAAATCATGGCCAGCGGCATGTGCGCGGCCCAGGGGGGGGGGCCGGGGACGTAATGAAATAAGAAGAGGCGGCATGAAATCTTGGGGAGATATGATGGCCCCCGCCATGATATCCACCCCCCCGAGTCATCAACCCCCTCTTTGCCGCCTCCGATTCTTGGCGCTCGAAATTCTTTCTGGTGATCAAAGCTCAAGCAGGTTGGAACATCGTAAAAGGCTGGGCAGCAACGCGAGGCCAGGACGGGGACAAAGAACATCGAGCAGGGATACAGTCGGACCTGGGCCAGAAGAACATCCACCTTCAAGAGCACGAGACACTCCGTTGGCCAAACCGCACAGAACATCCAAGGATACCCTCCCCAGGACGCACAATAACTGCCAACAAACACGAAAAACATTGGGGCACCCTCCCCGAACCCACCTCGATATTCTGCCTCCGTCTGGCTGTAAGTCGGAGAGCTTCGAGATCTGGCGGCGCTGCAGAATGCATCGGGCGCCGAGGCCTCCTCGGAGCGCCGCAGGGTTGCTCTGGGGCGATATCCGTCCCTGCCCCTTGCCGCGCCCGACCGGCTCGCCGATGCCCGCCAAGGAGGCAGACAAAGAGGCAATGGGAGAAGCAGGGCAACACATCAACGTAAACGTTGGGAGGTACGACTGGGTCTTCGTGGATCAGTGCTGAACACCTTGGCGTGCCTCGCGCGCCAGAGGAGTCCAGACCCGATCCAAGCAATCCGCGCGGGCCTCCGAAAGGTTGAGCTCGTCTTGTTCGCTCCTCTTCGAGCCGTACTCCAGGGCCAGAAAAGGGGGACCGGGGAGAGCCCACCATTTGCAACGAGAGAAATGTGCCGAGATTGGACGATGCGACCCCTTCAACTTAGAGGCCTGACCCTCCAGGGTCCTGCGGTGGTCGTCAAAGCAAGGACAACGCCGGCGAAGGTCCACCCGCGCTCGGCGACATTACGCAGGGGCGCCGAAGAAGTCCGTAGGGAAGGGCGGAACCGCTGGGGAGCCCCAGCGTAAGCATCCCGGCCGATGCCCACCGAAATATGCCATGAAGAAAACGGGTCCTGACGGAAACGGGTCCTACGGTCACCCCGTATCACAAGGAAGCACGATGATGAGGACGCAAGGGCTCTGGAAGGCCATGTCGACGCTCTGCGAGCGGGGCGCGGTCAGTGAAAGCGGCACAGGATGGGCCGAAGGGGAAGGATGCACGGGTAACTATGGAAAATCACTTATCCTGACTACGCCGGCTGACTGTAGACCCCCGGGGCGTCCCTCTGGGACCACGCTCTCTTGGTTCGGGGCGGTCCCCAGGCCCCGGGGCGGCCCCCGGGAGCCAGGCTCGCGCTCCCGTCTCCCGGAGGACGCCCGCTCGCTCCGCGGCGACGAGTGCGTGCCAGCACCCCGAGGTCTGGAGGCTGGCCCGCCCCCCTCGCCGCGTCTGCTCCCAGCGGGCGGCCTCGCGAGGCCGCGCTCGGATCCCGGCTGCGCGCAGGAGTGGCCCTGGGCACAAGAGCGACCTCTGGTGCGCGGCGTTTCTGGGGCTGCGGGGTGACCAGACACGGGCGCGCAGGGCGCTGTTACCACATTGCGCTCGGCGGTCGGGGGACCATAGTGCACCCGCACCAAAGGTCACCTCTGGCGAAGGCTCACTCTTACGTCTAGTCGATGCTGTCGGGTGGGGAAGAGCAGATGTGGGCAGGCAAATCGCACTGCGGGGCCGAGGGTCAGGAGAGGGGAGATAGCGGACACGGCATGCGTGAGGCGCTCAATACAAACTAAACCTGCCCTTATCATTGTTCGTCTTCGCGTCTGGCTCACGCCCCTGGGCTGCCACTACTGCTCCCCCGAGAGCAGGGTGCAGCTTGCTCAGTGCGGTCTCCAATGGGATGGCTCTGGCCTCAGATGCGGTGTGGCAGCGGGAAGAGGCATGCCAAATCTGCCACTCTCGGTCCATCTCCGCCTAGACCACAAACCTGAACAGACCCAACTGCACCTCCGACTCACGCCTGCAGGTGGGGGAGGGTGGGGGAGCAGCAGCAAAGCAGGATGAGCGTGAGGACGGTTGTGACCATGAGGGCGAGGAGGAGCTAGGAGGAGGAGGAGGAGGAGGAGGGGGAGGAGGAGGAGAGGGCGACGACGGGGAGCGAGGAGGAACTGCTTGGGGGGAGGGGAGGCACACCGAGGAAGCCCGGAGACGTCCGGAGGCTTCAGGCCCGTGTCCGGCCCCCCCCTCCCAAGGGCCGAGGCAGAGACGGAGGCAGGGCGGGGCGGCCAGCACGGCGGGGCGTTACCGTCGTCGTGCATCAAAAGAGCGCATCTCTACGAGACCTATGTTGCATCACAGCAGCAACTCGGCCCCTGCATTTCGTCCTGGGTTCGGTTTAGCGAAGCGATGAATTTCGAGGTCCTCACGTGGGAAACAAAAAACATCACTTCACTATAATCTGGGGCCCCTGGGGCCTCAGTGGGCCCTGGGACCCGACATTCGTGACGTGATGGTTTTCGGGCCTCGGATCAAAAGAGCGCAGCTCGCCGTCGCTCGGTCGTCCACCCCCTGTGCCTTTTTGTTGGGGTGTCCCGCGAGCTTCTGTCGGCCCGATGGTCGAGGATGCTCCCCCAAGGTCCTCGCGAGAAGACATGCACACGCCCGCGCGATGCCAAGGTACTGAGCTGCCCTGGCAGCACGGCGCGATGCTCCGAGCAACCCCACGGCCCGCCCCTGCAGCAGCCGTGCTCGCGCGACCGACAGGACGCGGACGGGGGCGGGGGAGGAGGAGGAGGAGGAGGAGGAGGAGGAGGAGGAGGAGGAGGAGGGGCTGCAGGATCCACGGCGCGCCAGGGCCAGTCTCCACCCCGAGGGACGTAAGACTCTGAGTAGCAATAAGAGGACACCCGGTGCTCTGGGAGGCGACCCAAGTTAGGATGCCAAAAACATCAGGGAGGGGGGGGCCATATCAGCAGGTGTCTCAAACCGAGCCGCCCATATCTGTCATCCCTGATGCAGAGACGGGGACCTCAGTGAGGCCATGGCTTCACTGTGTCGTCAGGTTAGGAAGACTCGGGTTCGGGGGACTCGGTTTGGCCTGAAGGGGCAATTATGAAAATGAGGAGTTCCCGCTGCGAACGTCCCACGAAACCTGGAGGGCGGGCTCGCCAAGAAGCGTGGGCGAACCCTAGTTCCGGCGTGCTCCAGCGATCGCAGCGTCGCCGTCCCAGGGATCGCAGCGTCGCCATCCCATCGGGGTGGAATCCGAATTCAGCCAATCACCGCTGCGTGGATGTCCTGGGGCCCCGAACGCGAACACCCCCTCTGCCCTTCCTCCCTCCCCACCGCACGCCGCCGTCTGCACGGTCGCGTTGCTGCTGTGCCTGGGGCGTGCCAGCTCTCTGGGACGGCATGATGCGCCTGATCCTTCATCCACTGATCAATGCTGGAACTGAAATTTGCGGCAGAAGTCATGTGCCCATGATTGAAGCTATCTATGATGGCAAGGCCATATCACACCTCACCGCGTAATTGCAATTGGACATCTATCCCACCTGTGGAAAGTTAAGCTGTGCGGTTGGAATTGAACATCGCAATATGTTTTACCTCATCGTGCTGCTCTGCAACGTCAACTTAGCTCTTCCCCCTTCAATATTGCACTCGTCAATCCCGATCGCTTGTTCCAGCATCGTCTCGACGTCCCCGCGTCCTACCTGCCAGAGCGCCTGCACCAAGCGCTGCTCCCCACGCATTACGTCTGAGGCTGACACACACGATTGGACTCATTTCCATGCCCAAGGTCAGACATTCTGGGAATCTACCACCATGCCCCCCCGGCGCGTTGAGGCGTGGTCCGCCGCCTTGCCTACCCAGAGTGGGCGTCTTAGAGTGCTCGTCTGTTGTCTGGTAGGTGTTTTCTTTCTTGTAAGCATTTTAAAAGCCCCCCCTCCCCACTTTCCTCCTGGTCGGCACGCCACCCTCGAAAACCGTCCCTTCTGACAACGCTTTCTGGCGGTCGTTTCGGCATTCAGACGACCAAGGCGGCTTCCAAGATGGCGTCCAAGAAAGCCAATGCGACCCAGCACGGCCCACATGGCCCAAGACAGCTCAAAAGCCTCTCAAAACAGCCTCAAGACGGCCCAAGAGGCCCTCAAGACGGCCCAAGAGGCGAGACGGCCCGAGAAGCTTCAAGAAACCTTCCTGGAGAGCCTGAGGGTGCCCAAACCAAAGATTCTCGCTAGGTGTTGAAGGATTTCCAGGTTCTCACTGGTTCCGGTTTCCAACCGCCCAAGACGGCCGAAGAGGCCCCCAAGAGGCCTCCACAATAGCTCCAAAACAAACCAAAATACTCCCACAAGGGCCTCGAGTCCGCCCCAAAGGGTCCGAAGATCGTCCGAGGGGTTCCCAACAAGGCCCCAAAACGGCCGTGAACCGCTCCAAGAGGGCGCCAACACGGCCTAGAGAGGCCCGCAAGGCGGCCTCCTTGGGCGTCAAACGGGCCACGAGTCCCCGAAGATGGCCCAGCAGGCCCCAAGAGGCCCCAAGAAACGTGCAGGAAACTCCCAGGACCCCCCCAGGAGGCCCACCGGCTAGGGTTTCTGCACAAAAGGCTCACCCCGGTCACGGAATGATGCGTGCAGGCCTCTACATCCTTCCTATTTTCCGTATCCCTCCCGCCCTCCGCCCGTCCATCCCCCTTCCTCCCCCTCATCCGTCCCCCCTCCTCGATCCTGTGGCTCGTCATAGCGGGAGCCGTAGCGACCGGCACTGGTCACATACAACCCTCATCCTAGAATCGAAGCTGGGAGGACCTGCCTCCTCCTCCTCCTCCTCCTCCTCCTCCTCCTCCTCCCCCTCCATTTTTTGTCAATCCTGTGCGCTTCGCGGTCCTCGCACCGATGCGCTCGATCTTGAGGCATCCGCCTCGAGGCCTTCGCTTCGAGGGCGCCCCACCTCGTGGACACCTGGGGACCACGTCCGCTCCTCGGCCCTTCGGCGCACCGGCCCCCGCTGGCTTCGCCCCTCGCGAGCCCTGCTGCACCGCCCGCTGCGCCCTCCTGGCAGCAGGGCGCCCGCGGTGGGGCCCGAAGCGGCAGCCCGACCACCGGCTGGCCCAACCTCCTCTGCCGCCCCTGTCTGCCCAAACTGAAGGGGCCCCAGGACAGACAAAAAAATACACACAAATAAAACAATTCCCCATTTTTCCCATATTCTTGTGGTTTTCGTCTTCCCCCCCCCCTTCCCATATTTCCCCCTATTCCCGTGGGAAGCGACGATGAATTGTGTCTGTGTGTCTTTTTCCCTCCTGACACACCCCGGCAGCCACTGACTGCTTCTCAGCCCCTCTCCCGCCTCGCTTCCCGCCTCCACTTCCCCTCCTCTTTCCCCCGCCCCCGCCCCGCGCTCCTGCGCAGCCCCGCTGCGGCCCTCCTTTCCCACCTCACTCGCCCGCCGCCCCCGCCTCAGCAGGCCCGCTCCGCTGACTCTGCTGGCCCCCTTCTTGGGTACGCACCGCTGCCAGCACGGGCCCCGAACAGCGGGAAAGGCGCTGTGGAGTAGGGTGCCGGCCGAACCCTCGGCCCAGCCAGCAGATGGCGCACCTCATCATCATCACCAACAGCGTCAGCGTCCCTGGAAGTCTGCCAGGACTGCGGGCCAAGCTACGCATTGCGCGTGCCGAGCCGACCTGCGGTCCGTTGCTTCGGCCAGGCCGACTCCACAAACACGGCTGGAGTTCTGGCATTCGCCACGCGGAGTTTAGGCGATACCTGGGGTCCAGCTTGGCGGGGTGGTGGCAACGGCTGTCACGGTATACGTTCCGCTGCTTCGCCTACTCGGTATCTGCACTTTATACCGCTGCATCATTACGAAATTGATTTACCCAAGAATTGAAACGCCAAGTAAAATTTTACTTGTTTTTTTGTAATTGCGCGGGTCATAGGGGGGTAGGCTGAGTGGACGGGTGCAGGGGCATTCCAATGTTCGACCCGTACGACACTGCGATAATGATACACACGCCCAGCATGCGTAGCCAGTTCGGGGTCGGCTTCTGTTTTGCGTTGTCGGCCCTCGCCGCGTTCCCAGCTACAGGCCGCATGCATCGCCACCACTGGTGCGCGGGTCGTGGAGCAGGACAAGAACTGTGAAAAGCGACTCAAGGGTGGACGAATCCTACCCACCCGCAATGTCACGGAATCTGCGCCGCAGGTTCTGAATTGCAAGTGGTGGGGCCCGCCCGCAGACAACGTGAAACGCGACCACGACGGACGCGGTCGCCCACCGTGCAATCAAAGGTGGTGCCACCAGGAAATTTGGCCCACTAACGCGGTTAAGGCGCCCCAAGCCATAAGACGTCAAGCCATCATCCTTTCCCGGCATCCTTGGCTGCTGCCTCGGCCGTCCAAGGGTACCCTTGGCGGCACATTCATCCTTGCCGTTTGGGGTTGAAGCCCGTTGCACGGCGGCGTCGCAGGGATGGGGGAGGCAAGGGTACCCTTGGGGATCCCTCCGTATCCTTGCCCATGTTCTCGTTTCCCCGCGCGTTTCTTGCCGCGTAATGGCGTTGCACGGCCCCTTGGGCACCCTTGCAGATTTTTGGGTTGTCGCCTTCTCCCCGATCTTGGGTCAGTTTTGACCCGGCAACGGTATATCTTCATGTTCCCCACGCCCCCTTCTTTGCCTCCACCCTCCTCCCCCGCGGGAGCTTGTCACCCGCTGCTCTTCTGAGGCGCCCTTGGCCCATGATGGCATCCAGATTCAAAAATGTACCATTGGCTTTCCTCAAGCGGTTTCCGTGGTGACACGTGTCACCTGCTTTTCTTCTGAAGATTCCCTGGCTCATGTTGGCGCCGAGAATCAAACGATTACGTTTGGTTTTCTCCAAGCGGTTTCCGCGGTGACACGTATCGCCCGTTGCTTTTCTGAGGCGTCCTTGGATCATGGCGGCGTCCAGAATCAAAAATGCACCGCTGGCTTTCCTCTAGCGGTTTCCTCGGTGACACGTGTCGCGAGTTGCCTTTCTGAGGCTTCCTTGGTTCATGTTGGCGCCCACTCAAAAATGCACAGTTGGTTTTCTCCATGGGGCTTCCGCCGTGGCACGTGCCATCCAGACGGTCACATCCAGTTCGTCATTTGATGTCGTGTTTGCCTGTCATACCTTTTCTCCCGTGACACTTTTCCACGCTAGTCGGCGGCGTGCGGTTAACAACGTTTCAGTAAGTAACCTTTGTCGATTTTCCTGTTCCCTGCCCCTCCCCTTCCGCCAACGAGCAGCTCACCAGAAGAGATCTTATAACAAATTGTGTGTGCATGCTTTCCACGCCACGCTACCCCAGCCCATGTCGTACTCAACGGGATCCTGCCCTCCATTTTCGCTGGAGGCACTAGGTTCTATTACATCCAATTTTATTTAGACACTACGCTGGCTTCGTTTTACGCATATTTAGAGCGTTGAAAATCTACTCTGCACTAACGTGCCTTACCGCGCCCTTTCCAACCCCTACTCCTACACGTGCTGTGACCAAGGTCAACCGCATCTCTGCAACTATCCTGCGCCGTACGATTCGTAGCATTAGCGTGGTCCGCAAACCTGCCCCGCAGCTCATCCCACCTCACCCTGGCATATTCAAACGCCAGCCAGACGCTATCCACATGTAACGGTGGTGCAAAGGGCGGCAAGACCGAGTTCGACGCGGGCGTCTCCTCAGGGTTCGACGCGTAGATTTCGTAACACACGCGGCCGCCATGGCGGCGTCCACCACGCAAATGTCACCGCGGTAGCACAGCGCAACTCAACGCCCAATCCGCATGCGCAGACCACGTGCACATTTCCTGCCCAATCTATCCAATGCCCGCTCCCCCCATCAGGCTTTGCTCTACGCGGGCTCCTGCAACTAATCACAACTCTTGGGTACCAGTGCAATATACCTCCTTACCTTGTCCAATGCACAGCCAGCGCTGCTCTTCTTCGTTTGCCGCGACTGTTAAGGCGTCGTTGCTATTTTGATGTGGATCGCCATATGCTTTAATGTATTCATCCTACGCGAACTTTACGGCGCGCCTGCATCGCGCAATTTTAGCCCCCCCGCCGCTCCCCCTCCCGCCCCTACCGCCGCCCCTCATCCCACCCGACCCCACTCCATCGCGACCCCGCTCTGTTCGCGCCCTTCCCCCCCACCCACCCCCCCCCGCGTCCGCGCGCAGCGCCCGTGCACAGCAGCGCCCGCGCGTGGCATCCGTGCGCGAATGTCCATGCGCCACGTCGGTGTGCCACGCGCGCGCGCGACGCCTACGCACAAGTCCCGCGCGCCGCATCCGCGCCACAACGCTGCGCCCTTCCCATGGTTCATGGCCACTTATGGAATTGCACCCAAGGCCCCAGTAG